ATATTTGAATATATATATATATATATATATATAGATATACGTATAACATTTTTCTTCTTCCTCATTGGCTTCCTTCGTCATTTCTTCATCAATATCTTGGTTGGCCACGGACGTTGGTAGTGGTGTTGGAAGAAGTTACGAGAAGTGAGCATGATTGGGAACGCTCGGAAGAACTACGCAAAAGTATCTTCTACACTATGAGATCATGTTCATGTGTAAAATATATATACACTAATTTTTTATATGGTTGTCGAAGCTTGAATTGTATCTTGTAAATGTTAGTTTTCTTCTTTCTTTTTTGTTTAAAGTATATATTGTATTGCTTGAAATAAAATGGAAGAAAATACAAAATTAACGAAACAATTGTATGAACGGGCATCGACTTAAGCATTCTTTCTTTTTGTTTAAAGTATATATTGTATTGCTTGAAATAAAATGGAAGAAAATACAAAATTAACAAGACAATTGTATGAACGGGCATCGACTTAAGCATGCTTAGCCAAAAGAAAAAACAAATTGATTAGTATATGCACCTTGTTTTCTTTATAGAATTTTAATTAAATATTGTCATGATATTTGATTATATGTCCTTTTGTTTCCAAGAAGACTTGATGTGTCAATTATTTTATTTATATTATATAACAATTATATTATGATACTATCTTAAGTCCTCAAGACACTTTCAATCAAACTTGATAAAATATGTTTTTCAGTATAATAATAGTAACAACAACATCATCATTAACAAATTATTTTAAGAAATATTGTTTTAGATTAAATATTCCGCTTTTAATGCCGTTATTGTTGTTATATTATCACGTTATTGTCAGTCTTTTATTCCCACTAAATACAAGTGAATTCTTTCTAGATAATAGGGAATATTGTAGAAAATAAAAACACTTACATACTAATCAAGGCAATGTACTTCCCTTCAGTTTAGGCTTTTGCTTAGTGTGTCATGATTTGCTTGTAACTTGATGTCGATGCTTTACCCAAAAATGTTTTAGAAAGAGAATGGCAAAAGAACAACAAAATAAAAAGGTGCTGAAGAAAAAGGGATTAACCAAAAACCGAAAGTGAAAAATTGTTCCTAATCTTGTTAAATAAAAAATTGTTTCATTTCTATAAAAAAAAAACTCGATAATCAATAATTTATACGGTAGAAAAATGGTAAATTAGACATATGTTTGTAAATTAATGATCACTTGATCAATTATTTACAATATCAATTAATAATTTACCAAAAATTATCAACGATGTTTTTGGAAAAGAAAAAACAGACATTTTTTTTTATTTCAACAATACTATTGATATGTACTTAAAGTAAACTTTTATCCACCACAATTATCAAATGTTTGGCATGTTTAGTTTATAAGTTTAAACAAAAAGTTTAAATAGAATTAAACTTTATATAAGAGGCAACATTATAACAAAAAATTTAAATTATAATTTAAACCCTTTGCCAAAGAGAGGTTTTATACAAGTGAACAACTTCATGCCTATGCCACATATGCATAAGATAATCGTACTTGGTGTAAGTGTTCTCTTCATATCTTCAAAACAAACATAAAAATTAACATTCTACCGTAAAAATAATGAAGTAACTTAATTAGAGGTGTCCATAATATATTTTTTCTGCATGAAATTTTTGTTGGTTTCTCAAACTGGATTTTCAAAAAAAATTGTGCGCAAGCGTGGTATCGATCAAATCACATAAATCAAAATTTAATGCGATCATTATTTCATGTTAATTTAACTACAAAGATATTAAAGAAAGGAATGAGGATTTGACCGTCGTTCGATTAGGACGAAAATCTTAAACTCCTCCAACACCGTCTTGAGCTCTTAAATTCT